TCTTCAAGCCATGATTTTACCAATTCGGTGTCTTATTAATTTTTCGTAAGGCGGCTGTGAATTACGTCACATCGCATGCCCTTTTCTATTTTTAACTTGTTGGTGCTTCTGGAGGGCTTCAAATTACCAGCAACATTCTTGCAAATCATACTGTCGAAGCGTATTGTGTCTTTCCACCATTCTCTGGCTTCTTCAGGAATTCGACAGTGACCGAAATCGTCGAATCTGACGCAGAGAAAAACAGGATATTCATTGCTTGTGTGAGTAAGGTTTTGAACGAACAAGAGATGATCCACCGTATGAAATCCATTTTACCATTCTGATTGCTCTTTAGGCTGTGCAGAGGTAAATTTTCTTCGAAGTCTGTTCTTCATTGGATTCGTGAGGATCTTGTAGAGACTGGCAACAAAAGAATGATCCGCCTGCAGTTCTTCAAATCCTCCCTGCTTTCGTTTTTGTAGAGTTATATCAAAGTGTGTGTCTGCTTTATGGGCGTTAAACGATCCTGGTCAAGCTCATGAGAATAATACTCGCATTTGTAATGTAGCCTAGCATCCATTTGAACCTTTCTATTTTTTCGATTTCGCATTAATCGCTCCGAACAGTGCGTCATTGATTTTAATCATCCATCATCTGCTCTTTGATCTATGTCCTTTTCCTAATCCTCTGCTCCTTACTTTACAGGCCATTTGCTTCGACAGCTAAGCTTTAAGTCCATACGTTAGCAATTAAAAAGGGCATGAAATTAACGGGCTTCGCTACAAACGAGTTGTGTAAAATATTTTACCTTCGGTTAAAGATTTTCAGTTTCAGCTAGTAAGCACTTTTTTCTGCTTTCGAAAATTATAAAATTGATTTCTTTATTTAAGCATTCGATAAACCAATACTCGGCTGAGTATCATTAACAGTGTTCACTGCCCAATAATCTCGTTAGCGTTTTATGCTTCAAGGAGTAACATCCTCCTCAGTTAATCCGACCTTAGTCTAGTAATGATACATCTATCGTGATCATAAACTCAAAGCTTTTCTTCTGTTCAGGGGTCAGTCCATATGGTGAAACATTATCATCCTTTTCGGCCTCGATATAACTATGCTGCAATGGTCGTTGCTGTTGTTTCATCTGTCCTCATATGGGGTCTCCATCGTTCAAGTAGGTAGCCCTTCTAAATGCCTCCTGGGCATCTTCCCAAGTTTCGGCAGTTTTTGCCTCATATAAGGTTTCTGGCAGATCGCTCTATTGTTTTTCTTACTGCACTGAGTATGATCGAAATAGCTTCTTACAATTAGTCGTTTTTTACAGTGTGTCCTCGCTGATCCTCAAGTCAGGATGGAATCCGCTTT